GAACTGCCAGGTGCATGGCAATAAGTGAATAGAGAAATGAGGCAGTGGTCATCACTTTTGGTTGGAATGATTTGATAATGAGCTCTGGTGTAGGGCTGTAAATGTGAGGTCTAATAATTCTGATTCTGCCATTAGTCAGCTCAGTCCATAGCTTCAGTTACCACTTCAGCTATCACACCCACATGCCCCTCCAAACTACTAGAGAAAGCAGTAAAGCAGGAAACAAGCTGGTCAAGAACGTTAGTTGTCTGACCTCATGTAATATGCAGACTACAAGAAAAAGTATTGTTGCTAAATGCAGTTATATGTGTAGCACACTCAGCTCAGCACTCACTGAAGTACTCAGTAAAGGCACAATTATCTGAATCTAAGTCATACATTGACTCCTGAGCTAGATGAGTTACCTTATGCAAAAGCTACATAGTACCTTAAAGATAATCCGTCCCACGCCTTTCATTTTAACTAAGGGCAAAGTGAAAAAGTGACTTGCACAGAGTCACACAAGGAGCTGAATGGAAAAAGAAATGGTGGAAACCAAACCCTAGGGAAAATGTTTATATGTAAAAGGTGGGAGGAAAAATAGGAGGGAACTAATTCGTTGGGCTTTTGGGGACTTGACTCTGAATTGTACAGCTGCCTTCTAAATAATTTTTATTTTCTGGAAAATAATATTTGCTTGCTATATAGCTCTACCTATATTTCTCATTGACATCTTTAATTCAGCATACCCGAAACAAAATTGGAATTATTACATGTTAAAACGGAAAAGGATCTTGAGGGCCTCCAGTCTAACCTCTCATTTTACTGATGAGGAGAAGATTCTGCACTGGGGTGTAGGTCTCACACTTCTTACATTCACTTGTAGCCAAGTGAGCAATCAGTTGTTTCTTGGGCCACTTTTGCCTAGGTTGCATAGCATTACTTTAAATCCTTTTGGCTTAGAGGGAGCCTTCTAAGCTCATCCTGGCTACAAAACAACTCCTGGTGATGTTTACAGCAGTGGTTTCTAACTTTTAAAAAAAACACAGTGGAATCCTTTAAGTTGAATCATCTGAAGAAATCTCATATATGATAGGAGACTAAAAAGAGGAGCTCTGGTTAACTACAAAGGTTTGGTGGTGGTGGTGGTGGTGGTGGTGGTAGGGACAGATAGTTTGGGAGATCAGGAAAAGAAAAGTGTGTTTTACTATGATTATTTGGCCTCCTCCTCATTCCTAGAGGAGAGAGGCCTCCAATGTACTTCAGAGGTTAGGAAGCGGTTTGAAACCCACTGATTGGGAGGCCCGGGGGATCTGGAAGTGATGCTTGGCATGAATGAGAAGAGCACTGGTGTTTCTGCTCTACAGGTTCCCCAGTGACCTTTCTAAATGCTGTGGGTTAATGACTTTCAGTTCTTTCTTGAATCTGAGAATTAGGAACTATACTGTCATTACAATTAGGGCTTTAATAAACTCTCAGCTATCATTTAAAAACTGTAATCACTCACATCTGTAGTTATTTATATAGACAAGCAGCATTTTTTTGTGAATTAAGTTGCCTTATTAGTATAGACAGCCCAAGCATTACTGTCACATGAGGAAAAGCTTAGCAGTAAACAGCATATTGATCTTGCATAGGCCCCTGTAATGTTCTGATTAATTTTTTAAATACTTGATATTTAATAATTATTTTATAGTATCCTATCTAATAATAGACAAACATGGTAATTGACTGTACCTTTGCTACGCCTCCCATTGGCTAATAAGCACGATATGCAAATTAACCGCCAACAAAGATGGCGGCTAATTTGCATACTGCAGGCAGGGCGGGACAGCGCGAGCTGCCAGCGCGCCGCCATCCAGCGGGTCCTGGGCGGCAAGGCAGGCGGGACCCAGAAGCTCCAGAAGCCGGCCTGCCTTGCTGCTAGGGACCCGATCGGGTTCTGGGCATCAAGGTGGGCAGGACCCAGAAGCCCCAGAAGCCACCTGATATGGCAGTAACTCTATCAGTAAGCACTCTGAAAGTGGCATAAATGCACCAATTAAAAGACAGATTATGAGGTGAATCAAAAACAAAACCCACTTTAAATATAAAGACACAAATAGATTAAAAGTAAATGAATTAAGCTGCAGCCTGTTTTGCTCAGTGGATAGAGCATTAGCCCATGGACTGAAGGGTCCCAGGTTCGATTCCAGTCAAGGGCATGTACCTCAGTTGCTGGCTTGATCCCCAGTCCCTATCAAAGCATATGCAGGAGGCAACCAATCTATGTCTCTCCCTTTCCCTTCACTTTCTCTAAAATTCAATGGAAAAATATTCTTGGGTGAAGATTAACAAAAACAAAGTAAATGGATTAAGTAACATTAAAGAGATTATAAGAAAAATATATTCTAAATTTTGTTAGTTGTATAATGGTTATGTTTAAATTATTAACACCTAAGGAATTGGGTGAAGGGTACATATAATATGCTGTAGTATTTTATAGTTTTTTTTATATGTATGAGATTATTTCAAATTGAAATATTAAAAAATTAAAAATTAATAAAATATTAATTGAAATGTATCTGCATTACATGAAAAATCTCCTACTTGCTTCTAGCATAATTTATTATATTGTGCTAAAATTTACAAGGGTTCAATTAAAAAATATCTTAATTCTAAATGATATAATAGAAAATATATAATAGTGCAGTTATAAGCACTTATCTGAAAATAAAAATTTAAAGAAGTGAATTTAAAGAAGGGATTAGCCAAAGAAAATATATGCAGAACCCATGGACACAGACAACAGTATGGTGATGGCCAGAGAGAAGTCGGGGCAAGAGCTGGGTAGAGGGGGCAAAAGGGGGGAAATAGGGACATCCTATATCCTATCTAATAAAAGAGAAACATGGTAATTAGCGTACGACCGCTACCCTTCCCATTGGCTAATCAGGGCGATATGCAAATTAACTGCCAGCCAAGATGGCTGCCGGCAGCCAGGCAGCTGGAAGCGAACATGAGACTTGCTTGCTTCAGTGAAGGAGGACTCCAACTTTCCCCGCCTGCCTTGCGGCCTCTGAGCTGGCAGTTTGAAACATTGTAATAAGTATAGAAGCTAAACAAAACCCTAGAAACCAGCTTTCAGCCAGCCGGGATCTCAGAGCTGGAGATGATACAGTGTTTCGATTATAGAACTGAAACAAACCAGATACCTGCTTTCAGCAGCAGAGGCCTTGGCCCAGAATAAAAAAAAAAGAAAAAAAGGAGCGGTTGGGAGCTTCAGTCACCCACCAGCCTGAAAACAGCCCTCAGCCCCTCACCCAGACTGGCCAGGAACCCCAGTGGGGACCCCCACACTGAAGGGTGTGTGACCAGCTGCAAACAGCCATCATCCCCTCATCCAGGCTGGCCAGGTACCCTAGTGGGGACCCCCACCCTGATCCAGGACACCCTTCAGGGGAAACCAGCCAGCCCCTACCCATGCACCAAGGCCTCTATCCTATATAGTAAAAGGTAATATGCCTCCCAGCACCGGGATCAGCGGAGCCTCGAGGCCTCCCGGCACCGGGATCAGCGTGACAGGGGGCAGCGCCCAAACCCCCTGATCGCCCTGCGGCTCTGTGTGTGACAGGGTGCGGCGCCCCAACCCCCCCCCCCCAGGCCCTGCTCTGTGTGTTACAGGGGGTGGCGCCATAACCTCCCCATCGGCCCTGCCTTGAGTGTGAAGGGGCGGTTCCCCAACCCCCCAATCGGCCCTACCCTGAGCGTGACTGAGGGTGGCATCCCAACCTCCCAATCCGCCCTGCTCTGTGCATGACAGGGGGCGGCGCCCCAACTCTCCAATCGGCCCTGCTCTGAGCCCGACCAGGGGCTGCACCTAGGGATTGGGCCTGCCCTTTGCCACCCGGGAGCAGGCCTAAGCCAGCAGGTCATTATCTCCCGAGGGGTCCCAGACTGCGAGAGGGCACAGGCCGGGCTGAGGGGACCCCCCCCTCTCCCCCCCAAGTGCTCAAATTTTTGTGCACCGGGCCTCTAGTAATAATAATAAAAGGCTAATATGCACATTGACTGAACGGCAGAATTACCAGTTGCTATGATGTGCACTGGCCACCAGGGGGCAGACGCTCAATGCAGGAGCTGCCCCCTGGTGGTCAGTGCACTTCCATATGGGGAGTGCCACTCAGCCAGAAGCTGGCTCATGGCTGGCTAGCGCAGTGGTGTTGGCAGGAGCCTCTCCCACCTCCGTGGCAGCACTAAGAATGTCCAACTAACGGTTTAGACCTGATCCCTTCGGTTCTAAGCCTTTAGTCAGACATCCCCCAAGGGCTCCCTGGCTGCCAGAAGGATGTCTGACTGCAAGCTTAGGCCTGATCCCCCGGGGAGTGGGCCTAAGTCGACAGGTGGATATCCCCCAAGGGGTTCTGGACTGTGAATGGGCGCAGGCCAGGCTGAGGGACACCCCCCCTCCTCCGAGTGCACAAATTTTTGTGCACCGGGCCTCTAGTCTATATATATAAAAGCCTAAGCGACCGTTAGGACCGAACGACCTGTCAAGCAGTTGCTATGATGCACACTGACCACCGGGGAGCAGACATTGAATGCAGGAGCTGCACTCTGGTGATCAGTGCGTTCCCAAGGCAACCTCCCACAACCGGCCAACCTCCTGCAGTCTCAATCTGGACTGGGCGAGATGGCCCTGATCACCAGCCAAGCCAAGGGACCCCTCCCGTGCACGCATTCGTGCACTGGGCTTCTAGATATTTATAATTTTGAATTTTATTTGGCAACTGATGAAGCTCTCTGCTAGACACCATGGGGAGTATAGGACAAGATACTTGCCCTCACATTTGAGCCATGCTGAGTCAGAATGAAGAATGTGATATTTTAGATGTTTTTTTCTTGGTACTTCATTTCATTACCTAAGCTTTCTTTTTTACATTGTGCAGTTATAAATTTTAATTTACTAACTTGTAATGCATGTTCATGACTGAAAATTTAATAATTTAAAATTGTGTGCTTTTTTTTCAAATTGTTATTAGATTGCAAGACTGGAGAAAGATAAAGAAGAACTACGTAATCAGCTGCTTAGTCTTGATCCCACAAGAGATAGCAAACGAGTGCAGCAACTTACTCGAGAAAAAGTCCATTTGGCTCAGAAATTAAAAGAGTTAGAGGCTGAAGTAGCCGAATTAAGGGCTGAAAAAGAGAATTCTGATGCTCGGGTAGAAAATGTCCAAAGAATTCAGGTGCAGCAGTTGGCTGGGATGCAGGCTACAATCAGATCCCTGGAGGTAAGGTTTTAATTGCTTCCCAGTAGAAAAAAAGTACGGCACGCTTTTTTAAAAGTGCATTGACAAGCCTCTGATTTTTAGAGCATAAATATATGCTCATCAAGTTATTGATGCTGATGCATTTGTGGAATCACGAGAGTATATACTTTTTGTAAAGATGAAAGCTATTGATTCATAAGCATTGGATATGCTGCCATACATAAAGGCAGTATTTCTTTGGGAGTCAAGTCACCTATCTTAAATGATTTAACTCTTGTAATGCCACAGAGTAGAATATGCAAAACCCCCCAAAATTTATTTGAGTTTCTGGAGACTAAAGCGATCTCAAACCAGAAGGAACTATTTTTTCCTAGATGGTTATTTCCTTACACTGGGATTTAAGATCTTAAAATCATAAGTTCTGTTTAAACTGAAATACCATACTTATATAATCTATGGGAGTTTACCAGAGTAATAAAATTTGACTTGGCTACTAATGCATAAGGCTTTACTGAATTGTTTTCCTGAGTTCATTAGAGAGAAATAAGAGCTGGCAGACCCTAGGTTGATACTCCTAGAGGGACTCTCCAAAAATTCTTGGTTTCAGTTGTTGAAGAAAAACTTTTTCTTCATTCTCTTAGGTTCAGTGATTGGGGGTTATGAATTAAACTGACAATAAACATTAGTGAGAGAAAAGATGGGCTTTTATTCATGTATGTACATGGGGATTCACAAAAAAGTGTGTCACAAAGAGGCAGTTAGAATTTGGGGCTTATATACCATCTTAAGTGGGGAGAAGGGAAGAAAGGGCACTTTGGAAAGATAAAGGGGCCCTTAGGGAAGTAGATGGGAGATATAACAGTTTTGTGAAAATGTCTTGTGTAGGGGGTTTCTTATCCTGATGCTGACTTTTTGTTTCTCGTGATAGGAGTGAGTCTTCCCTAGTTATGAAACTCCTGGGGTGGGAATTTATAACAGTTACATTCTTTTCCAAGGCTCTGTTTTTAGGCAGATAAGAGGAGTTGAGGGAAAAAACTCCCTTAAAAAAATGTGTGTTGATTCCCAACTGTTTTCAGTTTAAAATAACTTTTATGCCACAGTGGCAAGATATTCTGGACCCTTTCACCGTCTTCTCAGATATGCTTACTCCTCCTAGTTCTTAGTACCTAACATGTAGCAAATATACTATTTTAATTGTTTTGATTTATTTTGAGCAGTCCAAAATGTGGTGGTTTTTTATTCAGATAGTTGTGAAATGATTTGAGTTGGAAAGAAATTAATGGCACTTAGCTTGTAATTAAAATCTAGGATCCAAATCCAAAAGTGATTCCCCCCCCCCTCCCCTCCCCCCAGCCAGCAAACTGGTGCCAGGGGAGTATTGATATGTTTAGAAGAGAAGTCATGTTTTTATTTTGTGTATGAAGCTTTTTATAGTATTTACTGGTCCTGAACTAAAGTTGTCAGTATTGTTGGTCTTTAGATGTGAGACAATTCAGAATGATACTGCTTATGTTTTATGTTCCATCCTTTCATCCCTAATGTATTTATACAGTGACAAATAAGTGGATGATTGTAGTTAAATATGGCATATGGTTCCAGTGTGAAACTTTTCATTGAGGTCATTTAGAGTGATTGTTTTCAGGACAAGTTAAATGATGACAAAAAGATGGGAAGTTCATTTGTGACATTTTCAAAAGAGCCTATATTTAATTTTGTCAGGTGAAATGAAAATAAGTACATGAAAGCAGCATTTCTTTCTTCTTTGACATTTTTGGCTATCAGTGAGCCCAGAAAGTATTATTGTATATTTGAGGAAAGTAGGGGTTTTTTCCTGAATTTTTGAATACACTCCTTATATTATATTTAAGATATATAAGAAATGAGATAAAAGCTGAAGCTTATCCTTTAAATGCCAAGCAATTTTTATTTTAACTATTTTGAGTAGGACTATTTTAAGAAAGCATTTAGTTTTCCCTCCCTAACTAAAGAGTACTGTATTACCAACCAGAATTTTTTGGACAACTTCAGACTTCATTAAGAATCTTTATTATGTGATGAGTTCAAGAGCTATTGAGCTCTTTGCCCATACTTCCAAAGGCTACAAATTAGTTAAGGATTTTGAATTCTTATATCTCTTTAAAAAAAACTCCATTGACTTTAGATTTTCAGTTCTCACTTCTTACTGTTATAAATGAGCCCTGTCTTCTATTTCTAATATGCTTTTTTATATCTACTATGGATTTGGAACCCCCAAAAATATTTGTTCCAATTATGTCAGCAATAAGAATAAGTAGGCATCAAGTGAGTGCATTCACCAGATAAATATATGAGTTTTATTTCATTGGTGGCTCTTGATATATGTTTGTTCCAGATGTCTTTGTTGCATATTTCTTGGAGCAAACATCTTTCATTTGAATTCTACTATATACTTTGAGAAAAATATTTTTTCTTTGGTACGTGTTGAGATTTTGATTAATTTTGTGTAGTGGATTACACATATATTTTAAATAGTGCTTACTTTATTTTGATATAATTGTGAAAAGTTATGAACAAATTTATAAAATACTTTGTTTTAATAAAAGGCTGAAAAACAGTCAGTTAAACTACATGTTGAACGCTTGGAAAAAGAGCTACAATCAAGCAATGAACAAAATACTGTTTTAATCACTAAATTACATAAAGCTGAACGGGAAATAAATGCATTGAGCAGTAAAGTAAGTCATCTTACGTTTCTACTTCATTCTTTAGAATGTTTGATACTGTATAATGACAAAGAAAATTTACATTTAAATAGCTTTGTTCTCTATATTAAGATCTTTTTTAATGCTATCATTCTACCTTCCAGATATATGCAGAATCTGACCAATTCTTATTACCTCCACTGTCAATACGCCCCACTGGCCTTCTCACTCTTTGAGCAAGCTTACTACTTCTCCCTTACTTCCTGCCTGGCATGGTCTTCCCTCACATATCTACTTAGCTTGTTTCTGCATCTCTTTCAGATGTTGCCTTATCAGAGAGGCTTTCCTTGGCTTCACCTTGTTCAATACCGTCTTCCATCTTCCTCTGCCCTCTCAATCTCCCTTATTTGCTTTATTTCCTCCATAGTTCTTAACACCATCTAATATATATATATATATATATATATATATATATATAATTTGTCTCTCCTTTTCTTTCCCACACACCCTTACCCCAACCCAATATATGCTCCAGAGCTGAGACATTGCTTTTATCACTGCTGTCTCTCCAGCTCCTAGAACAGTGCTGGCACACAGTAGGCACTCAATAATAAATGTTAAACGAATAAATTAATATTAGCAGTAGCACCTGCATTTATGTTATTTAAAAAGAATATAATGGTAAGGGCACATGCCCAGGTTGCAGGCTTGATTCCCCAGTGGGAGCCATGCAGGAGGCAGCCGATCAATGATTCTCTCTCATTATTGCTGTTTCTGTCTCTCTCCCTCTCCCTTCCTCTCTGAAATTAATAAAAAAATTATATATTTTAAAAAAATAATATAATGGTTTGAACATTTTATATACAGATTTTCTCAATAACTTATAGATCCTCCATCACCCCTCAAATGCAGGATACATATATAAGGAATCCAGTAACCAGAAATAGAATAGCAATGCTAGAAGTATCTTATAGACTACAGTAGTGAATGAGAATATCAGCTCTGGGGTCAGACAGACTGGATTCAAGTTTCATTTCTTCCACTTTCTAGCTCTGTGACCTTCAGCAATTTATGTTCTCTCTGAAAAGTTTGTTTTCCATTTAAAATGAGACTAATATTTACTTTATAGAGTGTGACAAAGATTAAATGAGATATTACGCATAAAGCATTTGGCATAAGATTTAGTATATAATCACCCAAATATTAGCTGTTATTATCATAACTAGAGGCCCAGTGCATGAAATTCGTGCACTGGGGGGGGCGTGCCTCAGCCCAGCCTGCCCCCTCTCACAGTCCGGGAGCCCTCAGGAGATGTCCTACTGATGGACATCTGTAGTCTGTAGTCTGGCCACCTTCTGCGGGAGGTGACCGGGCTAATCAGGGTAAGGCGCCACCCCCATCACCCCACTGCTGCTGCCACTGCCGGTCGCTGCAGCCGCCAAGGTGTTTTCATCAACGTGGACTCCAGTCCCTTCACCATGAAAAAATGACAACTTTCTTTAGGCATTTTCAAGATGTCTCTTTCATAGGATATGACATTTCTTTCTTTTTTTTTATCCTCACCTGAGGATATTTTTCCATTGATTTTTAGAGAGCATGGAAGAGAGAGGGAAAGACAGAAACATCAATGTGAGAGGGACTCTTTGATTGTTGCCTCCTGCATGAGCCCTGACCTGGGCCCCAGCCAGGGAGGAACCTGCAACCTAGGTTCATGCCCTTGATCAGAATCAAACCCGGACCCTGTGGTCGGCAGGCCAAGGCTCTATACCCCGAGCCAAACCGGCTAGGGCAGGATATGACATTTCTTAGCCCCTCCAGCAGCAGGCCTTCATTTTTTCCTCTAGGAGTGAGGTGGAAAACCCTAGATCACTTTCTTGGATTCTTATTACCCAAGTTACCAAGAACACTGCAAGTGGCGTACAGGGAGCTTAGCCAATGAGCTGAGAGAAGAGCTGTTCCCTCTGCAGTTCATGCACAGAGACGGGATTGCTGGTGCGCCACGGCTGCTTGGGCAGGTCCCCCCTGTGTATGTGTCCACTCCAGGTCTGCTCCAGCCGCGCTGTGGCGGCTTGGACAGGCCCCCCTGTGTGTGTGTCCGCTCTTGGCCTGCGCCATTCGTGGCTTGTCTCACCACGCACACAGTCCCTTCCCACCCGCCTGCACGCACAGCTCCTCCTGAGCAGTCGTGACTGTTATGGCGTCCCAGCTAATTTGCATATTACCTCTTTATATATATATATATAGATATTAACTAGCAATAGTAATAGTACTTCTGGCATTGCTAAGAACTTGGAAATAAGACTGGTTACTAAATCAGTGAAGTAATATGTATTTTCTATCATAGCAGAGTTATATGTAAAATTATCTTAAAAAAAGAAATGGCTCCCAGACCAGAAGGGATTTACTATAGCTTGGTAGGAATATATAACTTATCTAAAGGAATGCTATATTCATCATAAATTCCTTGGCCAAGGAATTACTTGAGAAGACTGAAGCAGAGAGTGTTAGTCAGAAGCATGTAAGTACTCTGGTCCCATTGAAAAGAGTGTTCTTATTGTGGAAAGGAATACACAAATCTGTTTTAATTTATGGCCATGAAACAATTCATTTTACTCTATTTGAGCAATGAGTTTTTTATTATTAAAATGTTTTAATTCAAGCATAGTCCTATAATTGAGCTTATAGGTTGAGATTCAGATATATTTAGAAATTAAAAACTGTCATTTTGAAGGAGATAATGAAGTGCAATGGAGAAGTTTGTGGGCTTTGAATCAGATGAATCTACCTTTGAGTCCTGACTCATTCATCTCACTCACCACCTATGTGACTTCTCACTTGCTTAACTTTTAAATGGGGATAATAGCCCTGACCGGTTTGGCTCAGTGGATAGAGCATTGGCCTGCGGACTAAAGGGTCCCAGGTTCGATGCTGGTCAAGGGCATGTGCCTTGGTTGCGGGCACATCCCTAGAAGCGGGTGTGCAGGAGGCAGCTGATTGATGTTTCTCTCTCATCAATGTTTCTAACTCTCTATCCCTCTCCCTGTCTGTAAAAAATCAATAAAATATATTTAAAAATAAATAAATAAATAAATGGGGATAATACCTGTCTCTTACAGGGTTTTTGTAAGATTAAAGGTGGCATTGAACATAATAAATAGTAGCTGGTGATGAAAATGATCATGGTAATGATTACATACTTGTGATATCATTAAATGAGAAAATGATGTACATAACTTTGAGTTCATTGACTGATTTCATTCTTCACTGTATCAGTAACTGTGTGTATGACTTTAGGCAAGTTACTTAATATCATTGGGATCTATTTTCCTCATAGATGAAATGAGGCATTGCTCTAGCTGATCTCTGAAAATCCTGTCAGCCTACTAAGTTTCTATAAGTCCTACTAGAAAATAAATAACTTGATTGCTTCCTGGTTAATTGTAAGCAAATTATTTCTATATTCAGTAGATATCTATTGAGTGCCTTCAATGATAAAATATGCAAAGAAATGGATGCAAAAGACTTAACTTCAGGATACAGGGAGTTCTCTCATGGTATAAATTATTTTCAATTTTATAAAAAGAAATAGTGAGTATTCAGTTTTTTCAAAACACTGCTGTGGACCTGAGTAGCCGAACTGAACTGCTGGAATAACCTGAACCATAGATGGAGCATTAGGACACTGGATAAGTTGGCTTTTGCTGTGGTTTCTAACTCTTGGGGACCACCATATACTTTCCTTGCAGCATATGTATGTGAGCTCTCTGGCTTATTTGTGTCCTGACCCTGATTTTTTTTCTTCTTCTGTACATAGCTTCCCTATTGCTCTTTTTAGAGTTAGTGCATAGATGATTTCTCCTATTCTGCCTGTGGAAGAAGAGTATTTTAATGTAGTATTATTTCTCTGCTTGTTTGTTAATACACATTGCTAAAAGTTGCCTGTCTATTTTGCATATAAATGGCATATTAAAATCACTCTTTAACTTTAGACAAGCCAAGTTTTCATTTGAAATATATGTGAAAAGATTTCATTGGAAAGATAAATTTTAAAATAATATTTCAAACATGATTGTCAGTTTCTTTGCAACTTGAAGCTTTCATCGACATTATTTTGCAATTCTAGTAAACGCTTGAAATGGTAGTTTACAATGCAAAGGAACACCTGTGCTGTATTCAAATTTGTGTTATCTTTTTTTAATGGAGTTATGTCAGTGTGACTACCTTTCTATTGAAAAAATATTACTAAAGCCCTGGCTCTGTTGAACGTCATCCCATGCACCTAGAGGTCCCAGGTCAGGGCATATGCCTGGGATGCCTGCTCAATACCCAGTAGGGGGTAGGCAGGATGTAGCAAATTGATGTTCCTCTCCCTCTCCTTTGTTCTCTCTCTAAAAAATAAAAATAAAAATCACTAAAAATATTACAAAACATAGTCTGAGAATGATGCTCTTAAAGGTTTTTCACATTCAATGAGGTAAATTCTTCCAGTTACCTCACGAAGTATTTGATCTTTAGAACTCATATAATTCAGACAGCTTTAAAGAAGCTTCCCACAGAGTTACCCTTATTAGCCAAGTTAGTGAGATCATACCGCCTGAGACCTTTGAAAAAAACAAGAATTTAAGAATACTATCTCTTTGGGATTTGCATCAAGAGCTTCTCAAGTAATACATTTTTCAACTATATTTCTATTTCTTATATATTTTGTTTTCTAGCATGTCTCTGTGTGTATGTGTAACTTAAAAGATTCTGAAACCTTGCAAAGCACCGCTATTTCCATTTTTTAATGTTTCTTAAAGATTTTGTTTGTCTTTTAAGTAAGTTTTTATTGAACTTTAGAAAGAGAGGAAGGAAGAGAGAAATAGAAACATCGATGAGAGAGAAATATCAACATCTAAAGGCTGCCTCCTGCATCCCACCCTCCACTCCTTCGGACAGGGATTGAGCCTGCAACCCAGACATGTGCCCTGACTGGGAATCGAACCAGTGAACTCTTGGTGCATGGGTTGACACTCAACCACTGAGCCACACTGGCCGGCGTTTCTTAAAGTTTTGTTAGTAGTCCCAGTAGTAATCTCTGCATACTCACATTTTGCTGTGTCAAAAGCATAAAGCAAATTTACAGTGAGACATAATCTACATGGAAAACATCATGGAAAAAAAACTAGAAAAAAAGAATAGCTTGGGCCAGGCAGCTTTAGAAAACTGTGAATCTCTTGAAATTGTACACAGCATTTTAATATTGTACATTTTGTTTAGGAAAAGATCCCTTGTTTTCTTAGGATTTTTGAGGCCTGATCACAAAGGTTAACACATTGCGTACCGCATAGAAATCTCTAAGACATACGCCAGGGACCGCACGTTTTTTGGCAAACTGCACGTTATTTAAATCATCATAATGCACTTTAGGTGTTGTTTTTCAATAATTATAACATTTTTATTTACAAAAACAATTAAACAATTAAAGTTCCTAGTACTTTTTTAACGTATGGTACTGCGTAAAACATTTTCCTCTATGAAGAGGGACCAAACAAAATTTACATAAGTATCTAGACTTGCTCCTTTTTCCGTGGGTGTGAAAAACGAGAACACTCGTGAGCGGTCCTTAACAGATGGTGCGCGAAACAAGAGAAAACTCCTGAGCGGTACGAAATGTGTTAAGAACCAGGGATCTAGAGGCAGAAAGGAATGTTTTTATGACTTTTTGGGATTTGGTTCAGATTATTCAGAGAAAGTGCAACTGTCATATCTAGGCAATAAATACTTTAACAAATTTTTTATTTTTATTAAATAAAATATTTTTAAAAATACATTCTAGGAAGTTAATATTAGTATAAGTGTCTCTATATATAAAGACCCAGGGGCCATCACATCTGAAACAACCAAACAGACGACCGAACAGGCTGAGTGGTGCGACAAGGCCGGCAGGGGGGTTAGTGTGGGCCGACCAAACAACTGAGCAGCAGGCTGTGTGGGGCGACCAGGCTGGCAGGGGGGTTAGTGAGGAGATGACCAAATGACTGAATACCAGGCTGCGTGGGGTAACCCCCCCACCAGGCTGGCAGGGGGTTAGTGAGGGATAGCCAAACGACTGAGCAGCAGGCTGTGTGGGGGCGACCAGGCCCGCAGATGGGGGCAGTGAGGGGCGACTAGGC